TGTCCTTGGGCATCCAGGAGTCCCTGAGGAATATCACACATATCTCACACTGGGGGGGGGGGGCGTGAGGGGGGATTGTTAGCTTGTGTTTTACCCTCAGCCTTCCCCTTGATCCCTCATCAGAAGCACTCTTGCCATATCAGGAAGGATGAAACAATAGTAGAAAGACTAAATATATGGGTAATTTTCCTACAGAGTTTTCAAAATGATATCTGATGGTTAAATCCAAAATTACAGTAATGTCTGGGTAGTTTCAAATGTATGTAGAGGAAATAGTTGAGACACATTATATAAATGGGAGTGGTTAAGACATGTAAAAAGAGAGAGGGATTCTAAGTGGTAAATGTCAATACGAGCAGACCGTTGTTTTAATACTACCCAGCATTTGTTTTAATCAGACATGGCAAGACACGTAGACACAAACATGACTGTCATGAAAGAGTAAGTTTTTATACTTACAGACTCCTAGAAACAGGGTGCTTGGCACATCATGCAGGGCCACATGGGGAAGCACCATGGTTGGTCAGGAGGCAGGGAAAATGTGGGCAAGAGTCTTTACTGTAGTTTCTGTGGGAAAAACAAAGGAAAGCAGTATAACAAGGCATGGTATTGGCTACTTTGAATAATTTCAGGGAGCTCTAGGGTACAGGGGCTGTCTTGAGCTCTCTGGTATCTTATCTTAGGTTGGTTAGGAGGATAGAGGTATAAGAGCTAGATACAGGAGGTGAGGGGCGGGGGCGGATTAATTGGCTTGCATATGAAAGGCACATTTATAGGTAAATCGTTTACTTTCTCTAGGAATTATCAGCCCTGGAGGGAGCAGTTCTCCAGGATCTGCAAGACCCTAAGATGCCAAAGGATCAAACACGGAAACTAGAAAACTAAAAAATATAGGTACTACAACCTTGGTTGAACATGCGTGTGTGTATATGTATGAATATATAACATATATATTGTGCATTACACTTGTTATGTATATATGGACGAGGGAGCATAAGGCAAGCTGACAGGCCACAAACATCCCCCTTCCAACCAGGTGGGATATATGTGATATTTCTCGGGCACTCTTGGCTGCCCAAGAACAAAGGAAAGGGGTAAAGAAATGGGTAACTGATAGAAATCATAGTCCTGCAGGACCTAAGTCTCCATCACCCCTCCATAGTGATGTGGGAAACAAAGGCTGAAGGAAGTGGCAGATGGAACTAAATTTTCTTATAACCTGCAGTCCATTGACAAATACTTGAGGCTGGCAGAGTAAAATGTTTCTATAGGAACTCTACTGTCTTAATGTTAATGTTTTGCTAGAGGGAAAAACAACCTTAGCTTGACAATAGGTAGGCCTCCAGTATCCTGAGTCTTCTTTAGCATATGAAAATCTCACTGTAAACTTCCCTTGGACTTTACCTCCCCAACTCAGTAGTATATAACCAGTTTCTCCTCATGGCCCCAGGGCAGCTCTTCCTGCCCATGGGTCCTGTCCCCATGCTTCAATAAAATCACCTTTCTGCACCAATGACGTCTTCAAGAATTCTTTCTTGGTTGTCGGCTCTGGACTCCATGAACCTCACTATCACCCTCCCCGCCCCCCCCCCCCCCAAAAAAAAACCCTCATCATATATAATTGAATAATTAGAGCAAGAACTATAAAAAAGACTGGTACAGAAAGATTTTCTCAAAATCACTATAAGATATAAAAATGTAATTTTAAAGTATTTTCAAGTTACCAAATGGAAGACAGGGAAAAAACAAAACAAAACAGAGAAATAAAAAATGGAGAGAACAAAAAGGAAAACAATACAAATGGGAAGAAACTTCCATTTTCAGCTTCCATATGCAGATTGCTTGGAAGTCATCATTTCTAGGCTTACAAACAACCAAAAACAGTCAGCAAACCAAGTATCAAAGAACTGAGGTCACTGGGAAAACTGACACCTTAAAATCTGGAGAGACAGGCCAACCTAGAGTCACAGATAGGATTAGCTCAATAGGAGGTAGGTCCTTATGGTAGCAGAGACAGTACACTTGATAGACATAGACTTTAAGGCAACTGTTTTAAATGTACTCAAAGAGCTAAAGGAAGCCACAAAGAACTAATGGAATCCAGGGGAGCAATGTACAAATAAATAGAACATATCAATAAAGAGACAGAAATTATAAATAGGAACCAAACAAAAATTCTTGAACTGAAAAGTACAATTACTGATACAAAAAACTCACTAGCGGGTTTCAATAGCAGCTTTGAGCAGGCAGAAAAAATGCATCAGCAAACTTGAAGATAAGTCCTTTTTAGATCTCCCAGCCTAGGAGAGTTCTGGCCCAAGATGGCAACTCAGAGAGATCCTGAGCTCACTTCCTCCACAAATACAGCAATTTACAGAGAAATTCCCCCTGAAGAACTGAGGGCTGACTGAACAGCTTCTGCACAGCCAAAAAACCCCAAAAAACCAAAAACCAAAACAAAACAAAAAACCAAACAACAACAACAACAACAAAACAAAACAAAAAACAAAGAGGAAGGCAAGAAAAATGGACACAGAAATAAAGGAAACCCTCACCCCAGATGCCGTGAACTATAGTGGAAGCAGATTTGTCTGCCTTGGACCCCAGTGGGGAAAGATAAAAAGCCTCAGTTAAAAAGAGCAACTAGAATATAGAGAAACTAGATCCAAACAGTGGAGGAGCTGCTAGAACTCTCTCCTGGTCAGAAGGCTGGTGAACGCCATGATTTTTGTTCCTCCTCCACCTTGATGGCTTGGACTTGAACAGAATCTTATCACGCTAACTGGCTTACTGCCTCAGTGAGTCCCAGGTCTCTAGATTACACCAGCCCCAGCCATCCTACTGAGGTGGTCCCAGGGTGGTGCACACTCACTACAGCTCCAGCTGCCATACCAAATTGACACAATCCCAAAGCACCCTGGAACACTCCAGGCCTGCACTACTTTGGCTCTGGATGGCTTGCTACGGCACCCCTGGTGAAGGGTGCTCCAGGACCTCCCAGCTGATGCCTGCTTCTGCTGCAGCCACCCCACCATGGTGTCCCCTGTACACAGCACCATGGGAAATTCAGGCCCATGCCTTCCTTGGCTCCAGACCCCCACCAGGGGACCTCTTGTGCTGAGCATGGTGGGACATTCAACTTGCACCCACTTCAGCTTCAGCTGTCCTGTCCTTCTCCCCTGTGTGGAAAGCCTCAGAACATTCTTTTTTTTTTTTTTTTTAATTTTTATTTTTGGGACAGAGAGAGACAGAGCATGAACGGGGGAGGGGCAGAGAGAGAGGGAGACACAGAATCGGAAACAGGCTCCAGGCTCTGAGCCATCAGCCCAGAGCCCGACGCGGGGCTTGAACCCACGGACCGCGAGATCGTGACCTGGCTGAAGTCGGACGCTTAACCGACTGCGCCACCCAGGCGCCCCCCTCAGAACATTCTAACTTGCATCCACTTCAGCTTTAGCTGTCCTTCCAGAGCAGCCTCCGTGGAGAAAGCCCTGGGATTGCCCAAGCTAATGCCCCCTTCAGCTACAGCTGTCCTGCCAGGGTGTCCCCGGCTCAGAGCATCCCAGGACTCCCCAATTTGTGCCCTACCTTGGCTCCAGCTACCCTGCAAGGACACCCTCTGGGCAAAGAGTCCCAGATAACCCAGCTTACACCTTCTTCAGCTTCAGAAGCAGCAGTCCTACCAGGGTACTGTCTCCACGTAGAGCCCTGAAACCTGCTCTGCCCATGTGCACCCACTTTGGCTGTCCTGTCAAGACACCCTCTGAATGGAGAGCCACAGGACTGCCCTGGCCCATGCACACTTCAGCTCCAGCTATCCCACCAAAATAGCTCCAGCACAGAGTGCCCCACAACCCATGCCAGCCACAGGTTCAGCCAGCCAGAGAAAGTCACCAGACACACACAGCCCACACAAGGGATGACCAGAGACAAGACCACTCCTTCAAGTTTAGGAAAAATAATTGTTCCACCTAATTTATCGAAATGAACACAGAAAGTCAAGTAAAAATGGGGAAAAGAGGAATATGCTCCAAATGAAAGAACAAAACAAAACTTCAGGAAAAAGAAAGTAAAACATAAGTGAATGGAGATAAGCAATAGGCCCGATAAAGAGTTTAAGCAATTATTGTTAAGATGCTCACCAGAATGAAGAGAAGGGTGAAAGAACATACTGAGAACTTCAACAAAGAGATAGAAAATATAAACAAGAACCAGCCAGAGTAGAAGAATACAATAACTGAAACAAAAAATACATTAGAGGGAATCAACAGATTAATGGATGCAGAAGAACAGATCAGTGATCTGGAAGACAGGGTAATGGAAACACTCAAGCTGAAAAGCAAGAAGAAAAAGGAATTTAAAAAATTAGGACAGGTTAAAGGACCACTTGGACAACATCAAGCAAACAAACATTTGCATTATAGGGGTCCCAGAAGGATAAAAGAGAAAGAGGCAGACATTTGAAGAAATAATAGCAGAAAGTTTCCTTCACCTAGGGAAGGAAGTAGACATCCAGATTCAGAATATAGAGAGAGTTCCAAACAAGATAAACCCAGTGAGGTCCACATCACAACACACAGTAATTAAAATGTCAAAGATTAGAGGTGAAGAGAGAATTTTAAAAGTAGCAAGACAGAAGCAAGAATTTACATACAAGGAAAATCCCACCAGCTACCAACTAATTGTTCAGCAGAAATTTGGAGGCCAGAAGGGAGTGGCATGATATATTCAAAGTGTTGAAGGGAAAAAAAAAAAATCTATAAACCATGATTACTTTACCAGGCAAGGTTATCATTCAGGACTAAAGGAGAGATAAAAAGTTTACCAAACAAACAAAAGTTAAAGGAGTTTATCGCTACTAAGCCAGTCCTACAAGAAATGTTGAATGGACGTCTTTAAGTGGAAAGGAAAAAGTCATAATTAGACCTACAAAATTATGAATGAAAAGAAGTAAACTACAACAACGATACATAAAATGTGGAAGGGAAGGTAAAACAGAGAATGTCTTCAAACTAAAATGACCATCAACTTAATATAGACTGCTATAGTCAGGATGTTATATATGATCCTCATGATAACCCCAAATGTAAGACCTGTAACAGACACACACACACACACACACACACACACACACACACACACACACCAAAATAAAAAATAAGACAAAATAAAGAAAAAGCCAAACAATAATATAGAAACTCACCAATCACAGTGAAAGAGCAAGAGAAGAATAAAGGAACAGAGATGAACTACAAAAACAATCAGAAACAATTAACAAGATGGCGATAAATAATACCTATCTATAAATGATGCCTATAAATAAATAATACCTACCAAAAATTACTTTAAATATAAATTGTCTAAATGCCCCAATCTAAAGACATAGGATGACAGAATAGATTAAAAAAAAAAAAAAAAGACCCATCAGTATGCTGCCTACAAGAGCCTCACTTCAGACCTAAAGATACATACAGACTGAAAATGAAAGGATGGAAAAAGATACTCCATGAAAACGGAAGTGAAAAAAATCCAGCATAACAATACTTATATCAGAAAAAAAAAGACTTTAAAACAAAGACTATAACAAAAGACAAAGAAGGGTATTACATAATTATAATGGGATCAATCCAACAAGAGGATTATAAATATCTATGCATCCAACATCAGAGCAATTAAATACAAAAACAAATATTAACAAAGATAAAGAAAGAAAATGACCATAATGTAATACATCCCACTTACAACAATAGATAGATTATCTAGGCAGAAAATCAATGAGGAGTGTTTTTGAATGATACATTTCACAGATGGAGATAACAGATGTATACAGAACATTTCATACAAAAAGGACAGAATACAAACCCTTTTCAAGGGCACATAAAACATTCCCATGGGTAGAGCACATGTTAGAACACAAACAAATCTCAATACATTTAAAAAAACGGAATTATCAAGTATCTTTTCCAATTACAACAGTGTGAAACTAGAAATGAATCATAAGATAAAAACCCACAAGTATGTGAAGTTTGAATAACATGTTACTAAATAACCAATGAGTCAGCAAAGTTCTCAAAGAAGAAATTTAAAAAATACATTGAAACAAATGAAAATGAAAATAACTCTAAAATATCTGGGACGCAGCAAAAGCAGTTCTAAAAGGGAAATTCAGAGCAATACTGGCCTACCTCAAGAAACAAGAAAACTCAAATTAACAATCTAAACTTACACCTAAATGAAGCATAAAAAGAAGAAAAAACAAAGCCCAACATGAGTGCAAGGAAGGAATAATAAAGAAGTAAATGAAATGAATGAAATAGAGAGTAAAAACAATGGAAAAGATCAATGAAACTAAGAGCTTGTTCTTTGAAAAAATAAGGAAAATTAATAAATCCTGAGCCAGATTCATTAAGAAAAAAGAGAACCCAAATAAACAAAATCAGAAACAAAAAAGAATAATTGAAATTACAGAAATACAAAAACCTATAAAAGAATAGTATGAAATATTATATAACAACAAATTGGAAAGCCAAGAGGAAATGGATAAATTCCTACAAACATATAATCGTCCAAAACTGAATCCAGAAGAAATAGAAAATCTGAACAGATCAATCACTAGTAACAAAATTGAAATGGTAATCAAAAAACTTCAAACACACAAAAGTCCAGAACCAGATCTATTCACAGGTGAATTCTACCAAACATTTAAGAAAGAGTTAATACCTATTCTTCTCAGAGAAGATTTAATATCTATTATAAAAAAATAGAAGAAGAAGAAAAGCTTATAAATACATTCTGTGAGACCAGCATTACCTTGAAACCAAAACCAGACAAAGATATTACAAGAAAAGAAAACTACAGACAAATATCGCTGATGAACATAGATGCAAAAATCCTCAACAAAATATTAGGAACCCACATTCAGCAAAACATTAAAAGGACCATTCATCATGATCAAGCAGGATTTATTCTGGGGAAGCAAGGATGGTTCAATATTTGCAAATCAATATGACACATCACATTAACGAAACAAATAATAAAAATCATCTGATCATCCCAATAGGTGCAGAAAAGTCATTCAACAATATTCAATTAATGTTTATAATAAAATCTCTCAACAAAGTGAGTTTAGAGGGAACACACTTCAACCTAATGAAGGTCCATATATGAAAAACTAACAGCTAACGTCATATTTGTAAAAAACAGAGAGCTTCTCCTCTAAGATCAGGAACAACACAAGTATGTCAATTCTTGCCACTTTTATTCAATATAGTACTGGAAGTTCTAGCCACAGAACTCAGACAAGAAAAAAATAAAAAAATAAAAACCATCCAGACTGGTAAGGAAGAAGTTAAACTGTCACTATTTGCAGATGACATGATACTATACACAAAAAATCCTTAAGACTCCATCAAAAGACCAGCAGAAATAATAAGTTAATTCAGCAGAGCTTCAGGATGCAAAATTAATACACAGAAATCAGTTATGTTTCTACATTCTAACAACAAAGTAACAGAAGGAGAAATTAAAATACCATTACAATTATACCAAAAAGAATAAAATACCTAGGAATAAACTTAACCAAGGAGGTGAAAGATCTGCATTATTTTTTTTAAGTTGATTTATTTTTATTTGGGGGGGGCAGAGAGACAGAGAGAGAGAGGGAGAATCCCAAGCAGACTCCATGTTGATAACATGTTATCAACATGGAGCCTGATGAGGGAGGGGCTCACTTCCATGAACCATGACATCATGACCTGAGCTGAAATCAAGAGTTGGATGCTTAACTGACTGAATCACCCAGGTGCCCCCAAAGATCTGCATTCTGAAAACTATAAAACACTGATGCAAGAAATTGAAGAAGACACAAACAAATGGAAAGGTATTCCTTGCTCAGGGATTGGAAGAATTAATATTGTTAAAATGTCCATACTACCCAAAGTAATCTATAGATTCAATGTAAACCATATCAAAATACCAAAAACATTTTTCACAGAAATATAAACAACAATATTAAAATTTGTATGAAACCACAAAAGACCCTGAACACTCACAGCAATCTTGAGAAAGAAGAAAAAAACTGGAAGTATTACAATTCCAGATTCCAAGATACACTACAGTGTGGTACTGGTACAAAATAAACACATAGATCAATGGGAAAAAAAATAGAGCGCTCAGAAATAAACCCATGCATATATGGGCAGTTAATCTATGACAAAAGAGGCAAGGATATAAAATGGGGAAAAGACAGTTTCTTCAATAAACGGTGTTGGGAAAACTGGACAGCTACATTCAGAAAATGAAACTGGACCACTTACTCAGACTGTATACAAAAATAAACTCAAAATGGATTAAAGACCTAAATGTGAGACCTGAAACTGTAAGAATTCTAGAAGAAAACATAGGCAGTATTTTTTTTTTATTATCGACTGTAGAAATATTTTTCTAGATGTCTCCTCAGGCAAGGGAAACAGAAAAAAATATTGGGACTGTATCAAAATAAAAACTTTTGCACAGTGATGGAAAATATCAACAAAATGAACAATCTACAGAATAGAAGAACATATTTGCAAATGTTGTATTTGATAAGGGGTTAATGCCCAAAATATAAGACCTTACAGAGCTCAACATTACAAACAAACAAAAAAATCCCCAAACAATCCAATGAAAAAATGAGCAGAGTACCTAAATAAACATCTTCCCAAAGAAGACTTACAGATGGCCAACACGTACATGAAAAGATGCTCAACATCACTAATCATCAGGGAAATGCAAATAAAAACCACAACGAGATATCACTTTACACCTAGCAGAATGGCTAAAATAGAAGACAAGAAATAACAAGTGTTGGCAAGCACGTGGAGAAAAGGAAACCTTGTGCACTGTTGGTGGGAGTGTAAATTGATGCAGCCATTGTGGAAACAGTATGGCGTTGCCTCAAAAGACTTAAAAACACTATATTATCCAGTAATTCCACTACTGGAATTTACCCAAAGAAAACAAAAAGACTAATTTGGAAAGATATACGTACCCCAATGTTTCTCGTGGCATTATTTACAATATCTAAGACATGGAAGCAACCTAAGTGTCCATCGAGATAGATGAAGGTCAAGAAGAGGTAGTATGTATACACAGTGGAATACTACTTGGCCATAAAAAACAATGAGAGCTTGCCATTTGTAATGGTGTAGATGGACCTAGAGGGTATTAAGTTAAGTGAAATAAGTCAGACAGTCAAAGACAACTATTATATTTAAAAAAATATTAAATAATGTTAATTATAAATTAAATTTTAATTAATTTATATTAAATGATGTATATCATAATTTATATATTAAATTATATTAAATATAAATATAAATTAAATAATATTAAATAAGTATTATATTTAAATAAATACTACATGTGAAGTCTAAAAAGCAAAACAAATTAATAAACAAAAACCAAACTTACTTATTTTAAGTTTTCATAACAAGACTTTTAGGCATCTGGAAAATCTAATTACATTGAACATATGGTAGAGAAATAAGATACTATACAAATTATATTTTCTGTGGCATGAAAGGATGGTTTTCATAAAACAGTACAAGGAACTGACAAATTTACCTGAATTTCTTCACCCACAAATGAGTATGTTGCTGAAAGCTTAAAAGAAAGTCCCAGTGTGAGGAGCATAAAAAGAAAAAGAATGCAGAAAAATGAACAAAACCCAACAGACCTTTGAGACACCATCAATTATACCAACATAGACAAAATAGAAGCTTGGGAGAGAGAAAAGATGGGAAAGGGGCAGAAAGAACATTTGAAGAAACATGGATTAAAATCTTCACAAATGTGATAAAAATATATGAATCTACGTATTCAAGAACCTGGACAAATTACAGAAGGATGAATGCAAAGACCACCACACTTAGACACACTATAATCAAATTGTTGAAAGACAAAGACAGAAAGACACTAATCCCAAACCATAGGACAGACTTCTCATAGGCAGAGTCTGTAGTCCTACAAACGTGTCATCAGAAACCATGGAGGCCGGAAGAGAATAACCCAACATTGTTGAAGGGCCGAAGAAAAAAACCCAAAAAA